AAATATGTATATTCCTGACATAGCTTAAATATTCTGATAAGGTAAATTAATGAAATAAAACAACTTAAGTACTTTTATGTTGCGTTTAATATTACATATCATCTACATTTTGAATTAAAATATCATCGAAATATTTTATCAATCTTTACAAAATAGATTTGTTTTGATGTTATATAAACAACCTCGATCAGTCTTTGTGAATGTTACTACACCCATAGCCAATAAAAATGATTCGTATGTTTTCCAAACCGGTAAAAATAGAAGTCCTTTTTTAAAATTAATATATTATTTAAAGGTGGCCGTTAAAATCTAATGACTGTAAAATAAAGTATAAATTACGCCAAGAATTACTGTATATGTCAATATTTTATTTGTATTTAGGCCAATTTGACCAATCTCCTTTCGACGCGGCGCGGCCATCAGGGCCGTGGTAGCATGATTGGTCAGTGCATTCACCCGGATTGCGAAGGGTGTGGGTCCCGTCCGCTGCCTGGACCGTGTGGATTATTTCTAGTTAAACTTTTCTTTAGATTTAAACATCTATCAGTTAAATGCTTAAAAATAAATAAAAACATAATAGTAACTTTTAAGCTAGTATTTTCTAAAGATTGTTATACCCATAACACAAGCCTACAGTGCTTACTTTGGGGCTAGGCTAATTGGTGTGAGTGATGGAAATATTAATTACTAGCTGTGCCCCGCGGTGTTACCCGTGGTTTATGAGGAATATTTTCCCGCAGTAAAACGTAACCTGTATTAATCCAGGGTGTCAGCTAACTCCTTACCAAATTTTATTAAAATCGCTCCAGCCGTTTAGACGTGAAGAAGTAACAAACATACACACTCACAAACTTTCGCCTTTATAATATTAGTTTTTTTTTATTTAATTATCATTATTATATGGACCATGACAATTATTAGGTAATGAATAGATAGCTATCTCAAAATTTCATTTATGTTAAAACTGCGTCGTTCATTATCTTCATCAGCCTATTAATGTCCCCACTGCTGGGGCACAGGCTTTCCCAATGAATGGAATAGGGAGTGCGAGCCATGACCCACCACGCGGGTCCAGTGCGGATTAGCGGGTGCTAACGACTACAGATGCAGCCGGGACCGACAGTTTAACGAGCCTTCCGAAGCACAGAGGATATCGAGATAGTAAATTTTTGGTCACCCATCCAATGACCGACCACTGCGAAAGCTGCTACTTCAACGATCGCAGCCGAACGCGCTAACCACTTGCGCTATCGAGTTCTTGAATAAGTAAGTTACGTCCCCATTTCTGGGGCATAGGCCTTCCCTATGGATGGAATAGGAAGAATTGGGCCATGACCCACCACGCGGGCCCAGTGCGGATTGGCCTGTGCTAACGACTGCAAATGCAGCCGGGACCAATGGTAAATAGGTGTGGTTTGAAAGAAACTTAAATTAACAAAGGCTTTGGTAGGTCTAAAACTAAAACACATTTAAAAAGAGACATGACAATTTATTTATTAACACAAGGTTCAGACATTCAACTGCAGTGCTGACATTTATATGAAAATACATGAAATGTGTAATTAGATATTATTGATACATAAAAACCAGACAGCATATTACCTAATGGATTCTAATTTAACGGCAAAACCCGTTTTTAAAAAAACTTGCACCGACATTGATTTCAATTATCCAAAAGACAGGAGAAATATCCTACACAAGTAACATTATTTTTAAATTATAAATAGGTGCCGATTCTGGCACGATTCTCTAAATCTAATCTAAAAATTTGACAACAGTGTATCCTTGTCATTCTCTATACAAAATAAAAAGGAGAGACTGATAGTTAATTTAGTTTTAAGTTTAGAGAATCACGCCAGAATCGACGTCATTATGTACTTAAAATTGATACTCATGTTTTAGAGACATTTTCCCGCCTTTTTTATTTTCAATACAATTGTGCAATTGAGAATATTTCTAAAATGGATTTTGTACGTTTGAATTTTAATTTATAAAGTTATTTAATAGATAAACACATCTCCTTTGGCCAACTGAGTGGTTTTTTTTTGGGAAATATTATTGATGTACATTAGGAATGGTATAAAAAAGCATTTATAATATAAGTTTTATAAAAAAAATACTTAAAATTCAATAAACAAGCTTAATTAACTCTTACTTGAAACTTGAATAAATTATGTTATGTAGGATGTGCATACTTAAGCACCTCGTTTATATTATTTTTACATTTATAGTAAAATGTAGATTAGTTATGTTAAAACACGTAGAAAGAATTTGAAAATAACATTTACAAAGCACTGCAATTATAATATAAGTATAAAAAGTTGTTACGTTTAATTTATTTTAATGTTTATATTATTTTTTTTCTAATAATGTTACTTCTTGAAATTAAATATAATAAATATATACATAATAGGTATATTTTAAAGATTAAAAAATATTAATAAGATGTTTATCTATTTGATTGGACGGATTATTAAACATTCGAAATAAATCCTTAAAAAGCATATAATTTAAGTATGTTATATTAAAATAAAATAAAATATTTGTACCTCACAGTGGTTACATAGTAATATAGGCCTCACAAAAATCCGTACAGCCTCTATGATTAACCCTGTTTTCTTCATTAAAAATATAATTAAATACACAAAAATATACACTAAAAAAACTACTTAATTATTGCTCAAATAAAACAAAATTACATTATAATTGTATAATTTTAATTTGTATTATTTACTTGATTTGTATTAACTATTTTGAATACCTATAGTAGGAACACAAATATAATTAAGTAAAAAAGAAATAAAAATAAATATATACTTATATAATGAGTATAATAATTCATGATATAACTAGCACTGCCCAGGTTCGCTCGAGTGAATTTGTAAATATGCTTGGGGCAGAACAAAATCAAGGCATTATTAATTTTGTAAACTTGAGAACTCATAAAAATCTGTAAAATTAATTTGAAAAACAAAAGAGATGTTTGTTTGAAAATAAAACATTAAATAATAAAATAACCCTTCTTCGGTAACGTATCGAACTCGGGCGGTCTGGCCCGCGTAGCAGGCGAGCTGTACCACGGATGATTGTGAATAAGGTCAGATTTGTTTTAATAACAATTAATAATATAATATAATAAAAGTTTCACTTTCAAAGGACAGTTATAGACATGCGCATATTTTTTTTAATTAATAGAAAAAAAATTAATATAACGAAAATTAATAAAGGCCCGATTTTACTCTCCGCCAAGTATAACAACGAAGAAAATGGTCAAATAGTCATTTTTATTTTTTTATGAATGATGGCAACCTTTTTGTCATTTCATGTAGTAAATAATAATACTATATTTTAAGCAATTCTTCCGAAAAATAATTGTCTAAAATTAAAATCGCATTCTTTTATGAATTTTAAAGTACCTAACTGAGCGCGTAACCTAACGAAAAAATAACTATTTACTTTAAAAACTATTCGTACACTTACATTAATATCAATTCAAAAGCACACATATGAATCACTTAACATACTAATTAGGAATTAATGAGATTCCTAAACCAACGATGAACTGAGAAAAATGTCTGTAGCATTACAGTTTATTATTTAAACATGTGACAATATTTTTTGATATTATATAATAATGAACTGAGATATGGTATATATAAATTGCAACCAAAGACATTTTTCTCAAATTCGTTGTCATAATTAACATCAACACCTTATATAGTAAGCGGTAAAAGCTATTTTTCACTACAATACTTTATAATTTTATAAATATTATGTATAATAAAATTCTCTCTTTCGGTGGATTTCCAATTCATCAAATTGTGATGACAGCGGTAGTAAATGATTTATTATAATTTTTTCATTAATAAATAAGCAGAAAATATTTTGAGAAGATGTTTTTGTTCAAAGCTGTTCAATATTGGCTTTGGATGTCGTAAGTTCGAGTATTAAGCTAAAATAGAAATGGCAGATTCGTACGTTTAAATTTTTTGTCAAAGTTTATTCTTGTTAAAAAAATTGCATTAAATCATTCATGCGGTAGTTATATCGCATAATAGTACTTAAGTACTGAGATTAATCTCAGAAATAGATTTTTGACGATATTCATTTGTTAAAAAGAACATCGTACTTTAGGCGAAAATTGATAGAAATGCTGTGATAGTTATATGTTATATATTTTTTTTTCAAAATTTACATTGTGCGCTTCGTTCATCATACTATAAATGGCATGTAAGTATTGCAGGTACCAAATAACAATACTTGCTTCATAATATAATCCAAGTTCATCAAAGTACCCCAAAAACTTGATTAAGAAAGTTTTAAAAAAAAATCAAACGTCATAAAAAAATTGCGTGCAAAATTTTTATTGTGACAATTTTGTTTTCGACTGTACTTATTAACGATAGTTATTGAACGTAATTTGGTATTTTTTCTGTATTTTGATTATTATTTAAGCGTTAGAAATTTAAAATATCTGATAACCTTCTTATGGCTTGATTCTTTGCGTTTGAATTTAAAATTAAACTGAAAACTTGCTAAGGACCGTAGACTATACAACAACTTTTTTTTTTCGTAATGTTAGCGTTACATTGTCGTCTTCATAGACATTCTAAGTACATACGGTAAAACATACAATAAAAAAAACACTACGAAAATTTTTAGCTGCATTATTTTCTTGAATCCAACGCAAAATAAAGGAAGACACACACACACATATTAAGTAAAAAATTAGGTTATTGACCTATTTAATAAAAAATCTGCGCTAATGATATAAAAAAAGGTATGTATGTGGGTTGTAAAAATATTAAAATGTTCGCTTGAAAATAACAACTTCCAAAGTTAATATTATTCTTATTTCTAGATTATTGTGCGTAAAAAAAAACATTTTATGCTATTTACTTAACACGTGTGCGTATGCCTTAACTGGCGTTAGGGTTGCTAGCTAAATATCTTTAATTAAATATAATCGTCGAAGGCACGATGGCTTGGTTGTCTCTGGTTTACTCTTTCGTCTCTTTGGGTTGGTCTGTGTAGACGATCTCCGCGTATTCAGTGGAGGGTGGAGGGGGTTTCTCAGCTGTTTGCTCGCCTAGTTGAAGCTCGGCGTAAACTACGTTCTTCTTTTCTTCCGATAGAGGCTGAAATACACATTGGTATAAAGTGAGAGTCAGATAGAGGCTGTAAAATATATTTCGTGTAGTGTAGTGTAGTAGTATAGTGAAAGATACGAGTAAGATACTTTTATTATTTAAAAATGGGTGAAAGTGCGCTTTGTAATTAGCCTGAATTAATTAATAGGCACCATCGTTCTTAAGTTAATAGACTTAGATATTATATAGGAAAAAAATAGATTTTCTTTAGGTAATTTTTTTTGATGTTTGTAATTGTAAATGTTTATTAGAAATTAAGAAAAATTAAGGGCTCATGTTGTGAATCTTTATTTTAAATTTACATAAAGGTACATACATATGTACCAACACGAAGCAATAAATATTATGATTATGATTAACATAAAATTTTAATTGAATACAATTTGAAATATTACTATGTCTTTGTCAACGGTTTGTATTAAATTGAGAGCTAGAATGTGACTTAAATTTCTTGTGAAAACTTTGCTTTTTAAAAAATGGGTGCGTGTACTTATGTAGGCGCGTGAGAAGTTATCCTTCTTTGGCATCGTTTAAAATTAGTTTTTAATTGCATGCAAATAATTAATTACAATAAATTAATAAAAAGTCTGGAAAAGGACACAGTCAATAAAGTTCAGTTTTAATTTGAAAAAATATATAAATAATCAAAATATTCAATTAAAATCGCTACTGAATATAATTTATTAGAACATATTATGTGATTTGCACTTGTATGAAACTCAAACACGTATTCCGAATATACAAACTAGACACATGAGGATAAATATTATAAATAAACTGTTACTTTATTACAAAAAATAAAGATGTGGTTTTTGGTTCTACTACACCAATGGTCAAGAGATGGCGCTGTAGTCTCCTGAATAGCGCTTTGGTTCCGTTGTACCAGATTAATAAATACTTTTTGTTACATTATTACAAAAAATAAAGATGTGGTTTTAGGTTCTACTACACCAATGGTCAAGAGATGGCGCTGTAGTCTCCTGAATCGCGCTTTGGTTCCGTTGTTCCAGATTAATAAATACTTTTGATAGGCCTTCACAATGCAGTCGTTAGCACCCACTAAATAGAGATTTTATTTCTATTTGTTGGTAGATGTTCTTAATGTGCGGTAAACACAAAAGTAACAGCATGAAGTTGGTCGCTAAAGCGACAAGTTAATTTTTTGTGTTACAGTGATGCGCGCGCATCTTAAAATTTCACTGTCATCATTTTTTCATAACGCGCCTAAATAAGTATAACTTCAATAACTTTTTCTTTCCGATTTTTAATAAAAATATAAAAACTATAAAAAAAAATACCACAGAAGATAAAAAGAAAAATTTATTTTTAGTTATTACAATTTTACATGAAGATAGTCTCTAATCTGTATAAAAAACTCAAAATCGCCGCGTACAAAATGACAATTATAATTAGAAGCGTCATCTTGTATACAAAAGTGGAACTAACTGCTAGAAAGTAGCTTAACAAGTGATCCGTCTGTAACTAGGGTTGCCAACCCTACTATGTGTATATAATATTGTATCCTACTATATCTAAAAAACATATACAGTAGGCAAAAGTACTATATTTTGCTTAAAGCATATTTTTGCCAGTAAAAGCAAAAATATATTTATTTTAAAAATAAAGTAGATATATTAACTACATACTGGAGTCGATTCTGGCGTGATTTTCTAAACTTAAAGCTGAATTTAACATCAGTCTCTCTTTTTCATTCTGTATAGAGAATGACAAGGATACACTGTTGTTTAGAGAATCATGCCAGGATCTACCACTATATTTTTTCCATCTTCTCTATTTTCAGAGGTAACAATAAAATAAAATAAATAATAGATAAATAAATATTTCCAACACTCACACCAATTAGCCTAGCCCCAAAGTAAGCACTGAAAGGCTTGTGTTACGGGTTACTAGGGTAACGGATAGAATACATATACTTTACATATATAAGTATATTTATATAGAAATACATATTCAACATCCATGACTGGAGTACAAATGCTCCCGTTCATCACACAAACATCTGCCCCCACCGGGATTCGAACCCGAGACCTCTCGAGGAGGCGACACCATGAAACCCGGCGTACGAACCACTCGACCACGGAGGTCGTCGACAGCTTCGAAAATACCATATTTGATAGAAAATAAGTTGGTAAAGCTATCTGTAAGTCACCTTATCCTCGGTATCGGGCGCGCGCGCCTCCGTGGCCTGCACCTTGTCCTTGGCGCGCGGGAGGGCGGCGCGCACGCGGGCGCTCAGCGCCGCCAGCCGCGACCGACTGCCGCCGCCCACTGCGCTCTCCGTGTCGCTACTGGGCCGGAGACGTTGCGTTATGATCGCACACATATAATCTTATACATTAAAACAAAAAGGGAAGATACTACGCTCATACTAGCATCAAATAAAATATGATCCGACTCAACTACATAAGCAACTCTCACACACGCACACGTCTGTATATAAACATTCAATCGAGCGAGCGAAACGGCGAGTCCGCTTCCGAGTCCGTACGGCTGAGCTGTATTGTTGTCCTTTTCTTGATAACAAAATGGCGATTACGTTAATAACATTGACGACAAACCGTGATATTTGAGAAAAAATGTTTTTACAGTTTTACGAATGAAAAGTGTGGTAGAGGCATTTGATTTCGAACTATGTATTTGTGTTCTTAAAGCATCGAAGGCATTGTTGTATCTTTATAACATAGAATATAATTATGCAATATTGTTATATTGAGTGCACATGCAGCGTGTTTGAATGTCCAATTGTGACTAAAGCGAATTATGGTCATGCACCACAATTTAAGCGGATCACTTTTGAACCGCGAGTGCCGTATCTTCCCTTTTTGTTTTAATCTAAGCATATAATGATAATATTTGTTTTGGACAAATATACTGTACATACAACCATAATTTGTTACTTATATAGTTTAGTTCCCCAGAAAGAGATTATATTATTTTATACACTCGACCAAATAATCCCACACAATCCTGATGACAGAATATCAGATAATTTTGTGTAAATATTTTGTAAAGCTTATTGAAAAAAACAAACCAAATACCAAAGTAAAACTTAAAGCAAAATTATCAATGATGCGTTAGTGCAGTGTATAGTGTATTTGCATTTTATTGTATAAAATATTATTTAAAATAAAATGGATTATGAATGAGAAATATGTATGAGCTAAACAAGAAAATATTACCAAAATTTGTATTATATAAAAATTCTGATCTTATGGCCGTTATTTATAGCCGGTATTGTAAATTGTTAAACGTGTATGGTGCATTTGACAATAAATGATTGAATGATTTCATTTGTTCATTCAAAATCATTCATTCATTCATAACAAGAATGCGAGGTGAAACTCAAAGGAAAAGAGAAGCGAAAATGGATTGATTCAAAATAAAGCAATAGGGTCATGCATCAATTGAGAGTTTCACGTACGTTCTCGCGCCAAGCGCCAGCCCTGACTCTAAAAGCACATCGCCCGCGGGGGTCCTTACAACAAAAAAGCCGTTATTTACATAAGCGTAAGGTTCAAATTTGTATAAAAAATCAAGATTTTTTCCCTTTGGATTACGATGCCTTTGATGAACAAAATATTGATTAGATTTTTGTACAGGTGAAATAAAGAACAATTGTAAAATTTAATAAATAAACGACTTTATCTGTCTGTCCACTTTCGTTATAATTAGCCAGATTAATTTATTGATAATATAAACTATATTTATAAATTTTTCTTTAAATAGCATTGCTAAAATTATGGCCTTATTTTCGAAAATACATTATTTATATCCTTTTCAAAGGCATCGTCATAAAACATGTACCTGTAAAAACTTTATACAACCACTTTTAATAAAGAGTGCAGTTAATAAAAAAATACACAAAATTATTAATATACAAAAAATATATACGAACGCCCGAGTTAAGACTAGGGTTGCCAGATGGCCGGGAATTCCGGGATTGTAGCTTTGTGTCTTGTGTCTTGTTCCGTGTCCAATAATTAGACCTTATTGTCCCGAAATCCCCAAACACCAGTTTTTTTCACTATATTACTACACCCACCCACACCTACCTGCGAGGGGCGACGGAAGCAGGCATATAAAGGCATCCGTTACTGACCTATATTTTGATGTGATGTTTTATTTCTGGGAATTTATAAGCCAGCATCTGGCAACCCTAGTTAAGACCTACCCATATTTTCACAACGTAATAAAAATAATCAAGATTAAAATCAGTATTTATTTTTTTATTTTTTATTTACATTCCAAACCCCCTAAATACACACCCCGGCAAATATTTTGAACATAACCCATGGACAAAAAAGTTATAGTATAATTTTTGCAAACAAAAACGTCTATTGAGCTAATTTATTTTTGGTTCTATTCAAGATATTTGACGTTTGTTATTTTCATACTTAGATATAAAGAACGGACTGAAAGTAGTCATAACTTATCCAGCAATAAAGTAAGGCGCTTTGCAGACGGCGGGTCGGAGCGGGCCGGTCAATTTCGCCGCGAACGATAGCACAAAGTGAATCCTATACTTCAAACGTACACAGAGGGCAAAAAGACCGCGCCTTGGGTGCCCGGCGGGCAGTGGCGGCGCGGCATGTCCGCGGCTGCCCGCCGTGGATCATACAAACCAGTTTATATGCAGTAACGCAGACGGCGGTGTGGGGCGGCTAGCTCACTCCGCGCCACGCGCTTTTTAGTGATGGACTATTCACTAGAACGAACGTCCTGAACTGACCGCCTCTGCCCGTCGTGTGCTTTGTGTACGCGGTGAGGGCAGCCGCAGACATCGACGGGCAGACGCGGTTTTTATTGCTACGCGGACAAAAAGCCCGCCCCGCCCCGTCGTCTGCAAAGCGCCTAAATAGGCGCATAAAAAGACTCCGACGCGCGTCACTTAGTGTGTATAGTACATTAGTCTGTGCATCCAGTCATTTTGGATTATGAGTCGAGTTGACTATTTCTAAATGAACAATACTCACGATTCCCCCGATGCTTTGGCGTGGTCCCGACCTCTGCTACCTGTAAAATCATGTCATATTATTGAGATGTCAAATTTTATTGTAATCATCTAGAGTCTGTGCGGAAAGAGAATGGGATTTAGATTGGAGGGCGCTTGCTTTTCTACCGTTTTTGTAAGGTTTAACCCCTTTTAGACATAATTAAATACAAAAAACCACAAGAAATAAAAAAAAAATCCGTATCAATACAAAACTTTGACGTTTTACAGATTGCTGGGTTTGATTGCCAAATAAAAATCTTAATGTTAGTTCCCTTTTTCGCCACGCCCATTCTATTTCTGCACAGGCTCTACTTGACTTCTTACTACGTCTATACTGACGCTTTTGTTTTAAAGTGAAACTTCTTATTGGACGTGGTGTAAATGGAAAAATCCTATGGAAAAGATGAAACGGAAATGCGTCACGCGCGCGTGTGTGTGTGTGTGTGATGTTTGCGCAGCTCTTTCCGACGAGCATGAAAAAGTTGGAGAGTAACTCGGCGAAGGCTGAAACGCTACGAGCGTCACACGCGGCAATCGGATATATGAGTGATGCGTGCGTTGCTCCATTTTCCTATGCCCTATGCACCGCCTAATGTTCGGTTATTTAAGAAAAGAAGTTTCACTTCAGATGTGTGCTCCGTGCACATTATTTTTTGATTTTATCTATCAATGTGGCTATTATTATACTTACTCTTTTATGTAACTACCAACCTACAAGATAAAAGGCGATTTGATAACCGGGTAGAAAACGTCTCGTTAACAAACGCCTTTGGATTAATTATAATTAAAAAGTCTATAGTATAGCTGTCTCGGTGACTTTACAGTACTTATTTCACAAAACCAGACTCTTTTTGAAAAAAAAAAGAAACTTAATAAAATGAAAAAATATTACGTTACGTGTCAATTCGACTAAAACCTAATTTTCTCATTTTTTAATGTATTTTTTTGATCCAGCAAAATATACTATGAAGTTAATACTAATAATAATATAGTAATACTGTGGATGTATTTTTAAACAATGTCGATAAAAAATGTAAGGTGTCAAAAGACCGAAAGATAATTTTATATTTTAGTGTATTTTTTATCTATTAAAAAATATACAAAGAAGCGCATCCTCAGTATTCTTTATAGTACATTCAATGTTAATGGCAAGTTCAGAACGGTTATCAGTATTAAACATATATATGTGTAGGCATTAGATTCGGATGAGTTAACACTTTACACCTTACAGTGGTGTGTATCTTTTCCAACTTTTAGGCAATGTCACCTTTGTGTATTGTTTTCTATATACAGGCTGGTCAGAAAAGTCCTTAAAAACACCCTTAAATTAAATAAACTTTTAAATTATGTTAGATTTTAATTTTTCTGGAGTTTTTTTGGTAAGTTAACAAATTAATTGATCTTACAAATGATTTTTATTTCTTTTTTTTTTTCAATTTTTTCACCTCGCTTTCATCGAAGGCTGATTTCAGCGAAAAATAACTTCTGCAGTACTGCTTTTTTATTATTATTATGAAAGGACATCGACGAAATCGGCCCTAGCATGCTCAAAAGAATGTCCTTCACTATTATTTTTCTATTATTTTTTTAATTTATTAGCAATTAATCATAGTAAACGGACAATCTGTTTAAAAAAATTAAATTAAAAAGTTCTGTTACTAGATACTACAGTCTATTCATCCTAACTTGTCCTATTTGGTAAACAATGTTGGCACTCCTTTTTATTGAAAATACAGCATTAAAAATCAACTGATAACTGGATTGAAAATATTTCAGTCTATAATAACGATTTATTTTAATTGTTTATTGGCTTCGTTATTATTTAATTTTAAACGGGTGATTTTGTTAAAAAGTTGTGCCAAGATTGTTTACCTTAATAAATGCAATATAGGTGACCATAAGTATTTATCAACATAAGAATAGAACTAGGTACCTTAATTATTCATACTTGTCACTAGTATCTATTTATATTATATTTACAAAAAGATTATTTCTGAAATTATGTAAAGATAGTTTATACTCCCATCCCATAAAATATCTTTATTTTTTTTTGAAAATCATAATGATAACCAGGAAAATGTCTTATTACCGATAGTAAAAAATAGAAAACGGTAAATGGAAAGACTTTGAACATTTCATTTGAAAAGAAATCTATTATTACAACAGGTAGGTATAGGTATCACAAGTGCCAACTGCCAACACTCATAAATGAATATGAAAATGAGCATTTATTATTTTTATTATTAATTGCATTTTATGTTCATTTGATGCATATTATTTAAGTGCTTACATAGAGGTAAACACTAAATCTATTCAGAATATATAAAGTGTACATCTTTTACGAATAAGTATAATAATTATAACCTCAAAATCTAATACATTCTGTAGTAGGCCACTGTTCCTCAAGTTGTCCGTATCTCAACAAATGCCTAATTAGAGTTTATGAATGATTCCGAACACAACTAGCATTTTCTCATTGCTGGGCGTACTAGGGCATTCAATGTATGGGGAACGAGCAATGTCCTTTAGAGTCTAGCGAATTCTCTGAAGCGACTTAGAAACCAAGAAATTGCAAATTCAGATGTTTTATTTTAAGTTGAATATTTAAATGCTAATTCACTTGCACAAATTTAATGGACTGTTTATTTTATGCATAAATGTTAAGTTCATACAGATTTAGCAGCAACAAAAAAAAACCTATTTAAAAAAATTAAACTGCTAAAATTCATAAAAAAACGGTAATTCAAAAACTATGAAAAGTCCTTTCAGATAATTCTCAATCTCAACACGAGGCACCAAAAAAATTTTTAACGTCACTTTACTGGCCGCCCTATATGTCTTATTGTACCATTTCATGATTTAAATGTTTTTTTTTAATTCAGTAGAATTATGAATAGTAATTCACCCTATTTTTTATACGCCTCGCTATAAAACTTGACCAGCAGTGCTACTCTGTAAAATATTCACGCGCGCTCTGTAAACGATCCAATATAAATTCGCGTGAAATCTTTACAGAATAGCCCTCAGATTTTTTTCTTTTGGTTTTTTGAAGGAATAGGGTATTTGACAGTATTAAAAATAAAGTATCAATTATTAGCATCTGTGTTTAGAATGAATATTGGCAGGGATTTTTACAGAGAAAAAATCATAATCCACGATGAAGATAATAGTTTTCTTATCTACTGTCACGTGACCCAAAACGCTTGGGATTGGCGGAGCCTAAAATGACGTCACACGCAAGTAAACTTCCGGTTAAAGTGACATTACATTGTATCGTTTGACGTTTTAATAACAGTCGTGTGACGTCACATACTAGTGAAACGCCATATTGTCCAGAGAAACGTTTTCGCGGCAACTTGAAAATGGAGTTTTTGATTTGGTTAGTTTTATTGAAATACACAACAGAATGATGAATATCCACTTTTTACGGACTCCATAATTATTAGTGAATAACGTGAGATCGTTTTCTAAAACTTGTCAAATACCCTATTATTTTCTGACATTCATCCTTCTTTGTAGCTAAAATTAATATGTAATTTTGTGATGGCATTAATGAGCTGAGCTGTAGGTACTTAATGAGTCGATCCTTTGAAGACTGGATTTTCATAATAATTTTGGTTTGTGTACATGACACAAACAGTCAACATTGTTCAAATCTCATATCAAAGTTTACGATATTTCTATTTACCTCGTATCATGTATAGGGACTGCTTAATCTCAAACGTTAGAGTTCTCATACGTTTGACAACATGCAATCTGACCACTCCATAAGGGTGTGTTGTGTCACATGAACACAATACAGCGGTAACTAATTAGTTTAAACTTTTTGTTTAATTACTAAAAGGTTTTGAATCTACCGGTTTAGATGAAACTAATAAATGAAACAAACCGAATTTTCCTTTTTAATAAATACTTTATATTGATTTAATCTTTATCCATATAACGTAGCGATCTATAAACATCAAAGTTATATTTAGACCGTATAAGATAATTGTTAGAAAATCTTTGAACAACGCATATACAACATACCAGATATGAAAACTGATTTCTAATTACCTACTTGAAGATATTACAGATTGGACATTGGAGTCTTGTTTAATTTTTTAATGTGAATATAAAAAAAACTGTATATTTAATTAAATAACGTAACGCAAAATAAAGAGTGGACAGGAGCAAAGAATATTTATTTATAGTCACCGTTAAACTTGACTTTCGGTCAAAGGACAAAATGCCCAACTTTATGGTTCTTAAATTTGCCATTATGTAAAAAATGTGATGTTAAAAATAATACTCTGTTATTGGTTCAAAGTCTCTTAAGAACAATCCTTAATATATAAAAAAAAATATAAGTATTAAAACAGTTATATAAAAATATTTATTCAAGTATTAGTTTAAGTTTTGGCAGTGTTAAAAACGATTATAGTTTTCTTTCTTTCGTATATTGCACAGAAGCGCCTCTAGTGGAAACTACGAGTGTCGCTGTCAAATAATGAAAAAAATCGCAAGCAATTTTGAGATGTACTAAACTCGCTATCAGTAAGATATATGTATCTTTATGTGCGTTATTTAAGAATGTAAGATTGATGCGTTTTGCTCCTGTCACTCTTTATTCTGTAATCCTTTTAATACAATAGTTATATCAAAAATGGACGTGAAAAATAAGTTTTCATTCCTTTAAGGGCATGTTGTACAGATTATATAGTACACACCTTGGTATGAATAGAACTCCATAAGCTTAAATAATTTGAGCGTAATTTAGAAGCCTTTGGACCTGTTTCGAAACTGGCTGATAAACTTCTTGACAGAGTGAGTATCCATTATTTTTATATGGTATTGTCAAAAAAGTCCGCCGATGTTTTAAAGTTAACCTAACATGCGATTAATTGACAGTAGTATTCAGTAGTTAACAACATCGTCAAATAATCTATAAGCCAGTTATTTTATCTTATGAACATTTTACCTCTCAGTTAAAAATCAGACACTTATCAACGAGTTGACAAAACGGGTCCACGAACATATA